CGTGCATCCTTATGATGTCAAATTCAACAGAATCTTCTAGATTTCGTGGAATGTTCTCTAATTTGTACTCGTTTTGTGCAAAAATACAGTTTATGATGCGCCGCAGTCTGATATTTACAAGCCAGGAGACACATCTTATGATCATGTTTCAAAAAAATGTGGATCTCGAATGGTGTAAAACGGGTACGAACTGATGAATATAATATATAATCTAGAAGATTCTATTAAATTTAACACCGTAATGATGGACGTCTAAGAAGATTCGTAGTTGAGAGGTTTTTCGTAATTTACCGAAAAAAAATTAAAATATATATACAGTTAAACCTCTATAAATTAATACAGTTGGGACCATCAAGATTTCATTAATTTAGCGAAATATTAACTTATCGATAAATTAATAATTATTAATTTATACATTAATTAATAAATTATTAATTTATGAAATTGCTTTTATTATTATTTTCAATCAATACATTTTCTTAAATTTTTTACGTATATATTATTCATTGTACTATTCGTTCGATGCACTAATGAGCCTGTTTCACGAATGGAAGCTCTTAAAACAGTAATGGTATAGAACGATTTATGTTGAGTTATGAGAAAACTATACCGAAAGTTCTAACCATGTTAAGAAAAGTGAAGGATGAGATTGATGGTAATGTGAACTTCTACAAGAAACAAGTGAGAATTAAATTATATTATAGTAAACCTTCATAGATCTATAAAATATGCATTGTACCATGTCATATAAGATTTTTTTTTATGCATTATTAATTTATATATTATATGGGGCTTCTTAAAATTTTCGAATGTGTATTATCTTATAAATTTAGCGAATTATTAATTTAGCACGTTGTCCCCGAGTCGGGACCGGGAAAATTTATTATTTAAGCGAGGTTATTAATTTATCGGGTATTAATTTATCGAGGTTCTACTGTATATATATATAAATGAGAGAAAAAACAAAGGAAAGTATATTGACCGTTTCTTTAGTTACATCACACGCACACAACACAACACGCAGTAGCCCTCTCCCCTCTCCTTGTTCTCTTCCGAGATTGGTTCATTTGTTTCTTCCATTTTTTCTCTTTCGCCCAATCTCAGATAGGGTTCATTGAAATTTAATTGAAGATTGAGAAGGAAAAACAACAACAATATAGATCTACCCAACGACGAAAATATATTTGATTTGATTTTTTTCAGAAAAAAAAAGAAAAAAAAAGTACGAAAAATGGTGATGGATGAAACCGGTGGATCAACAGTGGGTTCGATCCAGGATCCGTTTGCGAATTCGACTACAGCAACGACGGGAGCAACGACGTCGTATTCTTATCCATCATCGTCGTTTTTCACTAATTATCCATTAATTTCCGCTTTCCTCGCCTTTGCTATTGCCCAGTCAATTAAGTTCGTCGCCTCGTGGTATACTTTTCATTCACCCATTTCTGTATATTCAGCTGTGTTTATTATTTTTTATTGGTTATATGATTTCATTTGTTTAGTATGTAATTGTTAGAATCTAGGAATGTTAAATATGGGCACATTTTGATCCGTAATTGTGATGGTCTTGATACACCTTCACTGTGTGTGTGTGATTTTGATTAATTCTAATGGGCATTTGCTTGATTGAAGAAACCTAGGAATTTGCTTGTTCGTTTTAGTTAGGGAATGTGGTATAAAAATCAGAAGAATTTTGTGGTATATGTGTGATTTTCGAAGCTGTCGTATTGCGTATTAGGTGTTCTAAACTTCTAATAGCTTGACGATTTGACGTCTTATTGTTTAACTTGGAGTACACGTAGCTGCATACGAGAATTAGTGATGATTGGTATTGGGATTTTGAATGGATGTTTGCTTGTTATTTGTTACATATCGGTGAATATGTAACAGTTATTGAACGTCCCTTAAAATCTTGATACTTAGGTCTCGTATAAAACTTCAGTTGTCTTCTAGGATAACATCTACGCCTTGCTGTCAAATCTTGAAATATCATACATGCTGCATAAGAGGCATTACAAATCAAGTTTATTCGATCCTGAATCGCAACAGGAAGACAAGCACTCCTAGGATACGAACTTAATGATGAGTTCTTACACAGACGAATGATTTTTTTATTTTTTTTTGGCGACAATTCAAAATCTTGAGACCATAATAGCCCTGCAGGTATAAGGAAAATCGTTGGGATCTGAAGCAACTTGTTGGATCGGGTGGAATGCCGTCTTCCCATTCAGCGACAGTAACTGCTCTTGCAGTGGCTGTCGGTTTGCAAGAGGGTTTCGGAGGATCTACATTTGCAGTCGCATTAATCTTGGCTTTTGTGGTACGACCCGTAAAAAAATTAAAAATTAACAAAAAAAATGAACCATTATTGACCCTTAAACTATAAAGGTGTTTGTTATTGAACGTATAATGTAAGTCGACATAAAGTTAGGTTTTACAATTTTTGCAATGATTATAGCACACAGAAAGCACTCTGTGTGACTCTTTCGTACATTACATCTGAAAATTCGCTCTTTGAATTGCTTCAACAGTATTTCGAAAAGACAAAATTTCTGGATACAAACATCATTTATCTCATCTAGACATGTTTTTTTCTTTTAAATAATTATTGTTGTTTGCAGAAGATTATTCTTACATGGTTAACTTATGGCAGGTAATGTATGATGCAACTGGAGTACGATTACATGCAGGACGTCAAGCAGAGGTTTTTTTAGCATTTATTTTTCGTGTGTTTTCGTAGTGAATTGAAACGTACACTTACAACTTACATAGATACACTCCTGAAATATATCTAACAAAATTGAAACTCACAGGTTTTAAATCAAATTGTATGTGAACTTCCAGCCGAACATCCTCTTGCTGAGAGCAGACCCCTACGTGAACTTCTTGGTCACACCCCTCCTCAGGTTCTATTTTATGCCTTAAAAATTCGACATACAAAAATTTGAGTACTATTATATACGAACATACAAATTAAAGTACCTTGGATCATTTTTTCAGGTCGTTGCTGGTGCAATATTGGGGCTATTTACGGCTACACTTGGCCATCTCATCTTCGGCACTCGAGTTCGATAATTCGACGTATTATCAGATAAGCACTGTGATTCTGATGCCTCTTTATATATAGTCAATATTTATATAGGATTAGATTTTTTTTTGTACCTCTTGAATATAGGAGGCAAAATGCAAATTCCATTCCCCCATGTAGTGAGTGTAAGTTTCAATATTTTCAGACTTTTGTTTTTGAGGGTGCCAAATGTAATTTTTTTTTGTGAGTTTTCGGGTGCGAGAAATGCCGAAATGGGTTTTCTCGAGGGTCCAAAATCGAACTGCTCCATATTTAAACAACATTCGTGTTTGTCAAAGTCAAACCGCGTTTACTGTGTTAATGATTTCGAGGTGTTTACGTCTATCGTGTGTTTACGAACATATTGTACAATGACGGGATTTCTTCGGAGCTCGTATTCATTTGTTAAAAAAGAAAAAAATCTAGTATTTAATTGCATCGATTGGATGCTAAGTATTACAAAAACAATTGAGTAATCCAGGCTGTCACGTAAAATTAATGCAGACTTGTGGATTATTGTAATCTATACGATGCACATGGCTGCCTAATAAGCTCCGCACTACATGGCAAATCAAAGTGGATTGTCCTACAATTTTGCACATAGTGTTTCGAACAAACATGCTTCGATAATTCCAACTCCAATAACATATATTATAATCGATACAATGACGATAAATGATGGGAAAATTGATTAAAATTCCATAAAAAAATATTTTGTGTAGCTAACACCACCATCCAAATATTCCAAATGGACACATAACTGGAGATATTATACTGAAAATAGATATCTTAGACTGCAAATGATGATTGAGACCGACAAGAATAACATTTTCCAGTAAGGTTGACGGAAATTAGGCGGTCAACAGCATGGGATTGATAGGAAGAGGCAGACGTACTAGTGGAAGAAATGCCATTTTTTTTTTAATACAGTTTTGAGCATGGCTGAGGTATAGGAGAATAAGAGTCTAAACTGTTTACTTTACGTCTAAACTCTTTAACAAAGAAAAGTTGTCCGATAAACTTTTAGAAAAACGTAAAGAAATTAGACTCGAATGAACTAACAAATTGCCCCATAAATGAATTGAATCCAACAAAATACCAACAAAAAATATCCAAATTCAAAAAAGAAAAGGGATTTGTAATGAATGTATGGATGTTTTGTTGTTGGATGTGAGTTAGGTCCCAATTGATGAGATGAGTCATGATCACTACTCATCCATCACACATTAATAAATAAAATGAAATAAATAATAGTTAGCAAACTGTACAAACACATTGCATCCAATTTTCTTGCCCATACTCAGTCCTCACCATGTGCAAATACTTTAGAAATACTTTTAATTTTTAATACACTCCCAACTTGACTCATTAAATTATCATCTTCTGAAATCCTCCACATGTCTACCCCCATTGGATTCCTCATGAGAGAGAGAGTCTAGAGAGAGAGAGAGAGAAATTGACTAGTAAATTGCAGCAGTTACTGTCAATGTGTACTAGGAAGGTAACTGTCAATGTGTACTAGGAAGTACTTTGTGATTAGGAAAAACATATATACAGTATATGTTTTTATCTCGGGCAAAATACGGGCACTCCTGAGTTATGGTAAATTACGAAAATCCCCCTCATGTTTAGGTCATTATAGCCACACTCCATAGGGAAATTTAGGGATGTTAAATCGGTAAAACCGAACGGAAATTTCAGTACGCCTACATTTCATTCGATTTGGTTTGGTAAATAACCGAATTACATAAAATTTATGTAAAAATATTTAAAATATGGGGTGGCTGTAATTACCGAAACAAGAGGGATTTTTTCGTAATTTGTCATACATCAGGGGTAGGGGTGGCCGTAATTCGCCATTTTTATCTTTTTACCGCATCTTTGCCCATATGCTTCTCCCATATGCTTCTCTTGCTTTTTACCATCCTTAAATATGTCAAACTATATTATAGTCTTTTTTACACCACTAGTGTGTGTGGATCTGAACCTCTAATATATTTACTCTGCCATCCTCAAAGACTTCTCATATTTCCATTTCTCTTTATTCTCTGCACCACATTTGCTCCAAGAGAAAAAAAAAATGAGATCCATAGATGACAAGGAGTGCTCCAACAATGCCGCCACCGCACAACCGGAAAGTCCGGCTTTCGAGTTCCAAAAGGGCGCCACTACGATGAAACGCGGGCCCCACCATCGAACGGCTCTCGGAAAACCGGCACCGTCAAAATGGGACGACGCTCAGAAGTGGCTAGTTAATCTTTCGAGGGGAGATCAAAAGAATCCGGCCCATAAGGCGTCGCCGCGTAACTCGAACGCCGACGACGCGAGATTGATACCGTCGCACGTAGTAGATATTAGCCAATGCGATGACGTCGTCGAGACGAAGAACGTAGTAGATTGTGAAGATTCGATGTGGAGAAGCAGTAATAGTAATAGTAATAGTAATAGTAATAGTGATAGTAATAATAATAATAATCCGGTTATTAGTTTTGCGAAAAGGGCGCCGATTTTATTGAGGGATATGGGTACGGAAATGACACCGATCGGAAGCCAAGAGCCTTCTAGATCAGCTACACCCGTGAGGGTTATTAGTCCGTCGAGAACCCCCGTTTCATCTGGACCGTCCACTCCCGTGATGACGACGGGTCGAAATCCGGTGGTGGTGGCGAGTGATCTAATTGAGAATAGTGGTGCACAATCAAATGCAATTAACGATCAAGGATCGAGCCGCGGTGCCAACTCGATTATTGATCAACCGAAGGGTCTTGATTGTTCGACCGAGATGAATCCACTCGAAAAACGAGCCGCGGCTTGGGATGAAGCCGAGCGTGCTAAATACATGGCAAGGTAATTGAATTTTTTTAATTATTATTACTTCTTTTTGATAATAAATTATCGAGTACATCGAAGTTTCCTAATTGATTGAACTAAGGTTATGTTCAAGAAAATGTCTATATTAATTAGTGATATTAAATTTATATGTAGGTACAAGAGGGAAGAGGTGAAGATTCAAGCATGGGAAAATCATCAGAAAAGAAAAGCCGAAATGGTGAATCGAAAAGTAGAGGTATTTAATATTTTCGGTTTATATAGGAATTCTATACTAGAGAAAATTACGTACGACGAAAATTTTGAGCTAGTGATTTACGATAAATGGGGATATAGGTGAAGGCAGAGAGGCTGAAATCGCGAGCGCAAGAGAAGTACAAGAGCAAGCTAGCGTCGAGCCGGAGAATAGCAGAGGAGAAACGAGCGAATGCGGAGGCGAAGCTCGACGAGAAAGCGGCCAAGACTTGTGAGAGAGCTAATTATATAAGAAGAACTGGACATCTTCCATCTTCCTTCTCTTTTAAGCTGCCTTCATTTTGCTGGAATTAGCATTTACATTGTGTACTTTAAACTTTGTTTAATTATTCCAAGTGTGTATTCTTTCTATTTAATTGTGTTTATTGTTATTATCAACTATAAAGGCACACATTTAAAAAAAAAAAAGGAATAAGTGGCATTTAAATGCAACTATTTTGGTAAATTAGTAGCAAATTGTCAATGTGATTAATCTTGTAGGGGTGATTAAAAAAAGGAAGGACAATTTTACTCTTCAAATAATATTTTAATTTTTAAGCAAATCACATAGAATAGCATAATTTAACAAATTTAATACCAAATATAATTTAAGTAACTAAATATTCTCAAATCCTCATTATTTTATATAAAATTTTGTAATTTCAGTGCATATAACCACCACCTCATGAGTCATGACATAAAATTCTAACTCTGCTAATGCTAATGATAAAATTAGCTAGTCGGTACGTAATTATTTCAATCTCACTTAATCTAAATGAATTCAATATAGGTGTAGCCGAACGAGGCTTTAGACATTAACTATACGAATTTGTTAAACAAATTTTTTTTTTTTCATAAAAGAGGCAAATAAGTGGCAAAATAATATAATTAGCTAGTCGGTAAAAAACTAATTCAATCTCATTAAAAATCTCAATATAGGTAGCCGAAGGAAACTTTAGACAATAATTATAGGAATTTGTTAAAAAAAATAATTATATATATTTTTCATTAATGAGGAAAATAATTGGCAAATTAATTTTTGGACAAGTATATAATATAGTAATATACCCTCTCAAAATTATTATTATTATTTTATTATTTTTTTTGATTAATCCAAAATTAATTAAATAGGGCATAAAGCGAATTTAGACTCTCTTTTCAACGCGGAAGGGACTCTCCTCATTTTTCATCTTTCTAAATCTCTCTCATCGCCGCCTTAGTTTACTTATTCAGAAGCAACTCGCCGCCGCCGTGGGATTATTTATTCTCTCTCTATAATTCTCCGGTCATTTCGTCGGTAAGTCATCGTTCCTTGAATTCTTCACACCGAAGGTGGGCGGATCGAAGGCGGCCTTGAATATTTATTTATTTTTCTAGGGTTTTCTGTTGTCTTCGGCAATTCTCGTTGGATTTCTGTTGCTTTGTTCTAATTTTGTTGAGGGGTTGGGCGCTCGTTTTTTCTAATTTTAGATACTCTGTAGTTTCAGATCTGTGTTTTCAATTTTCGACGCAGAAAAATTGGTTTGGGTTAGTTATACTTTTCTTTTTCTATTTTCCATTGGCGGGGGGATTGATTGAATTCAAAGAGATATAGTTGGGGTTTTTGCTTAAAATCCCAACCCAAGATAGTTCCTTTGGCTGGTTAGGGTTTGGTTTTGCCATCTCTACGGGAAGTCGAACAGCTATACATTAATGGCTGCTGGAAAGCATGTGGGCTACAGAGACAAAGAATTCAAGGACCGTGAAGCTGAATTTGGAATCTCGAAGAAGGAGAATGGGCAAGTGAAAGGGGATCATCAACAACCTAGGAATGGGATACGGGGATACGAGCGGAGTCAGGGCCGCGGTAGAGACAGTGTGGATAGGGTCAGACAGAAGGATATCAAAGAAAGAAATGCGGTGAATGGTGGATACCACTCGACTTCTAGTCGAAGTGATTCTGGAGGTAGTGGTGGTGGCCCGAGGAAGAGTGGAGTTGCAGTGCGCACCATAGATCGAGAGCCTGGGGAGCTTTCTAGCGATGGATCTGATGAGGCAATTGATTCGGAAACTCAAGCTAATGGCGAGGCCGAGGTTAAAATGATGGGAAATGGTAACCAGTTATCTCCTGTGCAGAATAAGAAGCGGAAATTTTCTCCGATTGTTTGGGATAGAGAAGATAGGGAGGTAAGCAAAGCAATCAAAAGTAGGAGTACTTTGGGTAACACTAAGGTACTTCCATCACCTCCATTGGTCAATTATAATCACAAATCACCTAACCCAAAACATAGTCCAGCTGGGAACTTACGTACTTTTCCTGCAGCTGATAGTGTTAATGTAGAAGCAGAACCATCTTCTAAAGCTGACGTTATACCTGGTTTTTCTGAATTTTGTGTTGAAACATCTTCTTTGCATGCTGAAGAAGAACAATCGGTGAAAAACATGGGAGGAGAGGTGGTGTACACAGATGATTATGTACATACACGAACCATAATATCATCTCGCTGGTCTAATAATGTTGATTCTCCGTCTGATGAAGGTGAGATTTCTGATTATGAAGATGCGAGAAAACTGAAGAGGAGGTCTGGTTCCGAGTTAGCTGACGTAAGGGGAAGTAGTAAGTCTATAAGTCCTGAAGTTGGGGAGGTCAAAAGAGAAGGTTCCGAAGGGAATAGGGTGATGTGCTCTGGGTCGGATGAACGTGTTAGGTCGTCCAGTAGAGATAGTTATCATGGAAAAGATGACAATAATGACTGCATGGAGATAGATTCTGATCGCAATAATGATGGTAATAGTGCTAGCCAGTCGGGATCAGAGTCTGAGGATGATGATGGTCCTCCTGGTACACCAGAGACAACACAACCCCCACAAAGGAGTGTTAATATGCTTCAGGGTTGCAGAAGTGTTGATGAGTTTGAGAGACTCAACAAGATAGATGAAGGCACTTATGGGGTTGTCTATAGAGCCAGGGATAAGAAGAGTGGAGAAATTGTTGCTCTGAAGAAGGTCAAGATGGAGAAAGAAAGAGAAGGTTTTCCTTTGACTGCACTCCGGGAGATAAACATTCTTCTTTCTTTTGACCATCCCTCCATTGTGGATGTCAAAGAAGTAGTTGTGGGAAGCAGTCTTGACAGCATATTTATGGTCATGGAGTACATGGAACATGATCTTAAGGCGTTGATGGAGAGCATGAAACAGCCGTTTAGTCAAAGTGAAGTTAAATGTCTCATGCTCCAGCTTTTAAGAGGTGTCAAATATCTTCACGACAATTGGGTGCTTCACCGAGATTTAAAGACTTCAAATTTGCTTCTAAATAATCGAGGTGAGTTGAAGATCTGTGACTTCGGTCTGGCTCGACAATATGGGAGTCCACTCAAACCATATACTCATTTGGTGGTTACACTATGGTACAGGTGAGGATTGTTGCTTTATGCATATATTTTTTAGCATTTTTATTACAGTGCTTTCTTTCTTAATCTTGTCTGGCTTAATTAGGAAACTCAAATCGTAATTTCACTTGCAGGGCACCGGAGCTTCTTTTAGGAGCAAAACAATATTCCACAGCGATTGATATGTGGTCCCTAGGATGCATTATGGGTGAGCTTTTATCAAAGGCACCATTGTTCAATGGGAAGACAGAGTTTGATCAGCTGGACAAGGTAAATATTTCTTTAACTCTAGCTCCTGTGTATTTTATCTTTCCTGTATAATTTAATATTAAATTTAATATTGAGATAGTTGGTCTAATTTCTTCTCTTCTGCTTCTGTTTGGAATGAAATTGCAGATATTTAAGATCCTTGGCACTCCAAATGATACAATTTGGCCAGGATTTTCAAAACTCCCTGGAGTCAAGGTGAACTTTGTCAAGCATCAGTAAGTATCCATATCTTTTATATGCAGTCCTTCTCTAAGTTGATGTCAAGATTTATGTTCTCTTCTTTTTGCCACTGTCTTCCCAGGCTTCCAGCTTTGGGTGATTCTGGTGTGGCTTTCTGTCCTCAATTGGTGACTGCCAGTTACTTGAGTAAAATGTTTGTTGCTTCTGACCACTTGCATCTATTTCAGGTACAATCAATTGCGTAGGAAATTTCCAGCAACATCTTTTATTGGTTCACCCGTACTTTCTGATGCTGGATTTGATCTCTTGAACAAGCTTCTAACTTACGATCCCGATAAGGTATTCTTGAAGTTCATTACATGCTTTTTAAAATTAAATTTCTTTTGTTGATAGTCTAAATATTCATTTGTAATTATGCAGCGAATTACCGCTGAAGCGGCTCTCAACCATGAATGGTTCAGTGAAGTTCCGCTTCCCAAGTCTAAGGAGTTTATGCCTACTTTTCCTGCCCAGCATGCCCAAGACAGGTGATTTTCTTGCTAGAGAAATTTTATGCACTGGCAATTTCAAAGTTTTCGGTGTTAAAATTCTTTGTTTTTAATGTGATTTCAGGCGTTTACGAAGAGTAATGAAGAGTCCTGACCCGTTAGAAGAGCAACGAAGAAAGGAGTTACAGCAAGGCGGATTAGGCTCTGGTGGTCTTTTTGGTCAGTAGCATAACTGAAATAGACATGATGGAGGTGAGCCCATGGGCAGATAAGAAGTTGCAAACATTGTATCGAGACTATCAAATTGTGTTGTTTTTTTAGCAGGCAACTTGGGTGAATTATTAGGTGGACAAACATTTCTAGGCCTCTACTCGTGAATCATGTCGCCTTCTCTTCTTGGACTTTGCTGACAATAGGAGTCCATCTTTTTATACTTCTTCCCTGAAAAAGGTGTGGGATAAAGCACCTCCTATTATGGAATTGTTTCTAATTGTTCTGTGCATGTAACATATTTCATAACAGCCTTGTAACATTATTGAATTTTATTTGGAATATCACAATAGTGTTGTACGGTCTACTTTCATGTTCTTAGTTCTATAGCTCTTAATCCTTATATTGTGTTTGCAAGAGATGTGGGTGTAAAGCGGACCGGCATGCTTTGCTTTTCAGTTGAAGAATTTGGCTGAAGTGTAGCACCATGGAGGTAAATAACTCTGATCTTCTGGGTGTAACTGAGGATTAGCATTCATGCCTGGTTTTATTGTAGCTTCCCTATCTTGGTGACACGTTTGTATGACTTCTTTTTACGCCAGTTTACCACAGTGAAGATATTTTCATCTACCCTTAGCTTTAGTTTACTGACCTTTATGACATTCATCTAAGATGTCACTGCAGTATGCAAGCACTCGAATTGAGGGCTACAAGTTGGCATTAATAGGAGTTCGAATTAGTTTTTCATCGACAGATTTTCGTATTTGTCCCGTGTTCAAGAAAGGTACACTGCCAATCTTGTTATTTGTCTCTTACAAACTTTCAATATTTTGTAATCAAATTTTCAGTTCAGTTTTAACTTTATTGGTGTATTTGCCTTCTCCCATCTACTATCTCTATTGTATAATGTTTTATATGATGATGAATATCTCTGCATTGCTGGAAATTCCAATTTGTGTTAAAATTTTTGAAAACGATCGATTGATTAAGCACCAAAACCTGCATGTTCATTAATATTGTCGAAATCCCTTTTTTTTTTTTGCTTTTGTTATGTTCTTTCACACTTGTCGTATGTTCGCTCGTTCTGCTGCTTAAGTGAATCCTTGTTTCATTTTGGCTCTCATTTGATCAATGTTCGGCTTGCCTGATAATATGCCAAGCTAAATCTGTACTCGTAGCAATTTCATTGGTTATGTAACATCATAAAGAAAATCGTGCATTTCCCTACTTCTGGATAACTTTATGGAGAAAGCAAAGCGAAAGATTGTTTGTTCCGCAGAAAAGCTGGAAAAAAAGAGAAACAGGGCCAAAAACGAGTATTCTTCTCCTTCCCTTTTGCTTCAATCAAATTTCTTTTATATATTCTGTCTTGAGAACACTGACGATTAGTAATGTGTCTTTTGGCACTTTTAAATATGTTGCCGTGTAATCTTTGTTCACATTCTGCGGATAATGTTGTTCGCGATGAGGTCGCAAGAATTGGATTGCTGATAACAGAAGGTAAGTTTGTTGTAGGAAAGATTAAATTCCTTGTGTGGTTGCTTTTTAATCCATCTTGGGGTTGATTCGAGGAAGTCGTCTGTTTTTTTATCTGCAGTTGGGTGTTTTGTGTATTTAATTGAAGCAGAAGAACGAGGTGGACTCACGATCCTGGAAACATTGAGTATTCAATCGATTTTACAATGTTCTAATGTTATTATGTGTAAAAAGACATGCATGAAAGCAAGGGTTAAAGTAAAGTAAGGCTAAAAAGAATCCTTGGGGTTTGATTTATTTGAAATGATGGTTACTTAATAGATAAATATCTATATTCCTATATTTTAGTGACTTGTTTTAGATAAGTTATTTCTTGTCGATTTATGAACAAAAAAGCCTTATATACTTATCGAAAGCTCATTTAATCGTTAAATATTTTTATAACATTTTTGTTGAATATTTATATAGAAATGCAAGTATACTACAACGTTTGCCATAAACACTCCCCTGAACTGTAGAAAGTACCCAAATGACCTCTGTGTTTTGTGGTCAACGTTTAAACAGCTACCGGTGTCAATTTTCTCGTGCATTTACTTAGTTGTCTTTAAAATGTGTCAAAATTTGAGCCTATCTGCTATTATTACACAACTTTATATGCATGAACCCCACCAAAAAAAATATGTTATTTTCTTCTCTATTTTCCGACTTCTCTCATCCCTCGAATATGGGTCGGGCTCTCAATTTTTCATGTGATCCATTTTCTATTTTCCGATATAATTTAGATAATTATGGGTCATGCCTATAATGAGAATGCAATGGTTTAATTTATTATGCCAATTTGTTTTAATTTTATCATTAATTATTGAATTATGTTACTATATTAACAGGTTAAAAAAACAAAAATACTATGTAATGAATAAATGAATTGTATAAAATGGAATAACATAAAAATTGTAAACAATATTTCAAGTTCAATTTAAATTGATCAAATTTTGGGTAAACGTATATGTATGTCTCTATGCATACAAATGTAGCAAAGTGATGGGCAAAAATATCATAACAACAGAATCTGAGAGTCAACTGCCACATCAGCACATTTTATATTTCTGGGTGCAATATGAACTTTCCTTTTTTTTTTTTTTTCAAATATTAATTATTTACTTTTAATATTTAATAGGTCAAAACCCATTACAGAAAGCCCAAAAAACCAAACACGCTCAGCTAAAATTAAAAGCCCAGCCCGACAAACAATTTCTTCCCCAAACATAAACCCTTACCGAATTCGAATTCCTAAAACCCTAACTACATTTGTTCGTAGTCCAAGCTTTCTAGCTCGCGTTCGAGTAAAAAAATGGCGAAGACAGCAGACGGTTCGAAGAAGAAGAAGAAAAACAAGAGCAATTTGAAGAAAAAGCTAAGCGTTCTGAATTCAGAAGCAATTAAAAAAAAAGCACCCAAGGAAAATCCATTCGAGAGCATATGGTCGCGGCGGAAGTTCAATATACTCGGCAAGAAACGCAAGGAAGAGGAGCGACGCCGTATTGGACACTCTCGTTCAATCGGCCTTCAAAAGGTCCCTCTTTTTTTAAGCTTATGACAGTTTTAACTACCTTAATCCATGTTGTTCTAGTCCCTATTTTCGTTCGGAACAAATTGCTCGTTGCTGAATATTTATTATTGTAAACTATGTTGTTATATTATATGGCATTGTGCACATTGGGTTCTTGGAGTAAGTGATTCGATGCGTATCTGTGTATGTGCTGTTTCTTGTTTACTGTTCTGCTATTACTAGGAAAATTTGCGCTTGACTGTTTATGCATGCCTTGGTGTGCATTTGTACATGCTAAATCCTTTATTCAGCATATCAATCTGTCATTGTGTGTGTGTGTGTTTTATAGGGAGAGTGCCTCAGTCTATTAATTTGCTATTTGAGTCAAAGAAGTTCACAATTTTTGTTACCTGTTATGGGCATCATTTTGCCACCAACCTTTTTTGGGTGGAGGGTGCAGATTCGGTGGTTGAATACTTCGTTTTAAGTGCACGTACTCTTTTAGGAGATAAATGCAAATTTTGTCATATTTATTTAACCGTGCATGCCCTCAGAGACCTTGCGAAGGAATCTTGTTTCATATATCTATCTGAGACCATTAGGCAGAACTGTCTTATACATACATTAGCATATGTGTCTTAATGTATTCATTCATAAACTGGGTTTGGAGTGTTATGAACTGTGTGGTGTTCGGGTTGAATTGCAGAGGCAAAACACCCTGCTAAAGGAATACGAGCAGAGTAAGAAGTCTTCTGTCTTTGTTGATAATCGAATTGGAGAGCAATCTGAAGCACTTGGGGAGTTTGATAAGGCCATTTTGAGATCTCAGCGTGAACGACAGGTGAGGTTTCCATGAACTTTTAATCCAAGTACCATTGGCTTGCACTATTGCAATTTTGAGAATATATAGTCATGGGTGATGTACTGGTCGTCTGAATTAGAAGGCAGTTGATAAAAGGACCCATAAATAATCATGGAATATCTGTAGACTTAAAATATGCAATTCTTTATGTGGGTATGTAACAGTTTGTTAATAAAAAATATTCAATTACTGTTTGTGTTATTAGTTAAACTTGAAGAAGAAAAGCAAGTACAATATATCTGATGGCGAGGAAGACGACTTCGAGATTCCAGAAGGTGGTTACTTTCCGGAAAGGGACGATTATGAAGATGATGAACCATTGTATGATGATGATGACGAGGCTGGGCAATCACTTGGGGGAGAAAGTAAGTCCTCACTTCAAATTTGCGAGTCTCTAAAATATTGTTTTTCCCTTTTACAGGTTTCCCTTTTTCTTATGAGTAAGTTCTGGAACATGTAAAATCATGTTTTTTCATTGTCCAAAGTAGACTATTACTGTATTTAGACATAGGGAGATGAGTTTTGATTGATATTTCCCCTAAACATGTTTCCATTTTTGATAAATTGTTTTTTCTGCACAGAGAAGTTGAGTTTTGGACAGCTTAATCCCGATGAAGTACAAGACGGCCTGGAATCAACAACATTGGAAGGGCAGGAAAATGTGAGATCAATTTCCTACCACCTGGTGCATTTGTTTGCACTATATTTTTCTTCATGTATATTTATGGGTTTTGATGACATTTAGTCAGTGAATTCTGATCCCATCCTCCATTTTCCTTTCAGTCAGAAACCAAGTCATTATGAAATTCTTTAATCTCGCATCAACTCCGTAACTAGTAGAAATTATTTTTAGGTCGAATGTCTAGTTATTCATTATGAACCTGTTACCTTATATACATGGTCTGGGCATTGTTTCATCTGTATCTATCCATATATTTAATGGATTCAGAAAGGCTTATATATGTGTTTTGCATCTTATTTGCAAACAGTATAGTTAGAAATTCATTAGCCATTTACCCAGAAAAATGGACTTTCTAGTTAAACTGTTTTCAAGCTGGGTAGATTTTTTGTTCTTGGCCATTTATTTGGTCAATGAAGTGTGCTGTGTGTATCTTCTGATTGACTAGTTGTGTTACATTTTTCCACGCCATCCCGTAATATTGTGGATTCGTCTCTAAAATTAATGTTCAAATTCTTTTCCAACTTTTGACCTTGTTGAACATAATTTGGCTATCTTAAATTTATTATGTTTATGGCAGTTCTTGTCCTACGAGGGCAACTATCTCTGGTTATTTTTGTCGATTTTCTGACAGTTGATATGATTATATGCATCTACAACCTTTTTTTTAACAATTTGACACGTACCTGTGCTAAAACATTCTTTGTATTTGTAGTATCACCTTGCGTCCTACTAATGATTGGTAACTTAATATGTAAGAAACTGTCCTTTTATTTTCCTCAAAGCTAAACAATCTCATCCTTTTCTGCTTGCCCTTGCAGAGACATAAGAGCAAGAAGGAAGTGATGGAGGAAATCATTTTTAAAAGCAAGCTCTTCAAGGTGAATTATAGAATATCATTTGGCAATGATACTTTCTGATTGCCCCCTTTTCTTTTCAATTTTGTATTTATTCGTATCTTTTTATCTTGTATCTTGTCAGGCTCAAAAAGCAAAGGAGAAGGAAGAAAATGAACAGTTTAATATCCAATTGGATAAGAATTATGACTCTTTAGTTCAGTCTAAGGCCCTACAGTCACTGTCACAACCAAATGGAATTCAAGCCCATAAAGATCTAGCAAACAGCAACATCTTAAATGTTGATGCAAAGGAGGTAACACCAAGTGCACATAAAAAACTTCCCCTTCAGAAGGTATGGCTGTCATAAAAAGATAAATATCGTGTGACGCCCTTTCAAGAGTCTTCAAAATCTTTTGACAGATTTTAATAATTTGTGAGGTTAATTGGTCTTTACAGGACAAACCGGATGATTATGAAAAAATCTATGGTGAAGTAGCACTGGATCAGCGGGGTCGGGCATCAGACAGGATAAAGGCACCTGAAGAGTTAGCTCAAGAGGAGAAAGAGCGTCTAGAGCAATTGGAGGTACATGCCTTTAAACTTTTGCACATATAAGATGAGATGTTAAAACACTCAGTGATGGTACCTTGACTAGAGGGCATATGTTCAAGGTAGTCAAAATCAGGGTTTTAAGTTGAATCGAAGAGGGGTAGTAAAATCGGAAACGTAAAATTGGATCGTAACATTAACAAAACATGTTTTAACATAAATTAAACATAGTCTTATAAAATATCCTCTTCCCAGATTTCGATGTAGTGTCTCTATAGGGCAAATTTGAGCTTATATGGTAATGGACTTCGTAAATTTTAGTTAAAAAAATCAGAGATTGAGGCTCAAACTTGAAATATCCAGCCCAAATTGACTATAATTGAAATCGTGAAAATTGTTTAAAAAATTATCAAAATTGCGATTTTACCGATTTTACTCCCGATACGATTAAGGGAGTAAAATCTTAAAATACTACGATTTTACGATTTAAATCCCGATTTTAAATCCCTTGAATATGTTATCATGATATCCATCTAATCTTAATGATACCTATTGACGAACCTCGAAATCAAGATGCCTCCCTTTCCCCCTGTGTTGTCCTTGGAAATGGCCATCTATTAGACCTGGCCACGGTTCGGTTCGGTTCCGGTTCCGGTTCCAAACCGCCGGTTCCGGTTCCGATTTTGGAGGAACCGGAACCGAACCGGACCGAACCGAAAAAATCCGGTTCCTTGCGGTTCGGTTCCTAACCGGTTCCGGTTCGGTTCCGGTTCGGTTCCCGGTTAGAACCGGTAGAACCGCCGGTTCTTAATAAATTTTTTTTTATTATTTTATATATATATATAAATACTTTAAAAAACTTAAAAAAAAAAAAAACACTTTTAAAAATAGTTTTTTTTAAGTGGAAAGTATATTTAAAAAACTTAATTTTTTTTTTAAATACGTAATTTTTTTTAAATAAATATGTATATATTATATACATACAGTGATACAGATATATAGACATATATATATATATACATACAGATATATATATATATATATAGATATATAAAATATACATACAGATATATATATATAAATATATATACAGATATATATATATATATATATATATATATATATATATATATATATATATATATATATATATATATATATAGAGAGAGAGAGAGAGAGAGAGAGAGAGAGAGAGAGAGAGAGAGAGAGAGAGACAGAGAGGAGAGAGAGAGAGCTAGGAAATTATTTTTTTTTTTATTTTTTTTTTTTATAAAAAACCGGTTCAAACGGTTAGAACCGCGGTTCTAACCGTCGGTTCCCGGTTCCAAAAATGAGGAACCGGAACCGAACCGGTTTTTTCGGTTCCGGTTCCGGTTCTGGTCAAACCGGTTCCGGTTCGGTTCTAAAACCGTTGACCCCGGTTCGGTTCCGGTTCCGGTTCCGGTTCTAACCGAACCGGTGGTCAGGTCTAGCCATCTATGCTACCATGAACTCCATTTGGGTTGGATTGAGTTTTGATGTTTGGTATTGGCCCTTTCTTGTCATCTTTCTTGAATGTATCAGTCAGTAGTATTGTGTGACAATGATGGTTGCATTATCAGTTTGATTGTAGATCAAATAACGATTCGTCTTTAAATCTTTTTGAGGTGCCACTGTATAATAGTTCTCCAATCTCATAATTACCTCGAAATTTCTGTCTTTTTTATGTAATAACCTGCATGTTACCCACTTTTTTCAGAAAGAGCGCGTACAGAGAATGGCTTCTGCTGCTGATTCTAGTGATGAAGATGACAGTTCTGAAGAAGATGATGACTCTGAGAAGCAAGTAAGGCATATATCGGGGGATGATCTTGGTGATTCCTTTTCTTGTGATGCCAAACCTGCAATACCGAGAACTACACTTAGCTCCATTGAGGAAATCTTTCGAAGAGAAAATGATGATGAGGAAGATGATGAGGAAGATGATGATGACGACGAAGATGATGACGACGAGGATGATGATGTGGCAGAAGGATCTGATGAGGATCATGTTGAAAATAAGAAGGCTCAGTCTCTTAAGGACTGGGAACAAAGTGATGATGAAAATATAGAAACTAGTTTGGAAGAAGAAGAAGATGATGAAGATGAAGATGATGGTGATGGTACTGCTAAACGAGTGAAAATGGTGAACTCGAAGAAGAAACCAGAAAGCTTGGGAAAACCAAAAGAAAGTGTTAAAGACGATGTTCATAACAAAGGAGAGCTTCCATATACAATTGAAGCTCCGCAAAATATTGAAGAACTTACTGAACTGTTCGAGAATCGCTCTGAAGAACAAATTGTTGAAGCCATCCGGCGAATTCGAACATTTAATGCACACTCCCTCGCTGCAGAAAATCGTAAAAAAATGCAAGTACGGTATTTTATGTTGCTTTAGCCTTTTATTTGTTCTGTAAGTGATAAGTTATCTCGCTGATCAGTAATACAGGGATTAATTTTTTCCCCTTATTCCGCAGGTGTTCTATGGAGTCTTATTGCAATATTTTGCTGTTTTGGCAAATGAAAAGCCATTGAATTTCAATTTACTTAATATCCTTGTGAAGCCGCTGATAGAAATAAGTACAGAGCTCCCATACTTTTCAGCCATATGTGCTCGTGTGCGGCTGTCTCGTATCCGTGCTCAGTTTCTCGAGGATGTTAAGAATACAGGTTAGGCTATTATAGTATTTTCCTAAATAATTTTCTGTTAATGAATATTACTGTCTTTGCTTTTATCTTTTTTTGGTATCTAATTTCTGACCCTTTCTTACATGACAGGGAAAAGTTGTTGGCCTTCGCTTAAGACACTTTTCCTCTTAAGGCTATGGTCCATGATTTTCCCATGTTCCGATTATCGTCATGCTGTCATGACTCCTGCAACCTTATTGATGTCGGAATACCTCATGCGCTGTCCTATAATTTCTGGCAGGGATATTGCAATTGGTTCCTTCTTGTGTTCTTTGGTGCTCTCTGTAAGTATATGTCTATTTAACTTTTCATATCTCTTCCTTTTGATTATGATACGATTTATTATGATATTATATTTTTGTTGCATAGTTGTCAACATTGTTGCCTGGTTTGGTATTTGCTTCAGATCTCACACTAGTGCAAAATGATTCCGAAAAAAAAATATTTTTTGTATTTCAACTTCCCAAAATGCACAAAGTTTGGGCTAACTGGTACTGGTGGGAAGAATATGGCAGTTTATCAATAAATCGTGTTTTTAAGTGCACTACTTTCTGTCCTTTTTTCTGTCAAGTCTCATACCATATGAGATGAGTAATCGTGGACTAAGGAAAATGTGAATGTGAAATAAAATGAGAATAAATTGCAGGAAAACAATGTTGTTCAAAACTCTTCCTATTTTGTGTATTCCCAGAATCTTTCTTTGACAAATAATTACATGTGGAAAGTTTGATGAAGCTAGAAATTGATGTATGTTAACCTTTTCGAAATTGAAGTCTCAATTTGCCCTGAAAAATAATTCTTAAGCTTTTATTATGTGAATGGATTTCTAAGTTTAATATATATATTTACTCCTTTTAATTTTTTCTAATCTGCGCTTGATGTGGAAAACTAATGCAGGTCAGTAGACAATCCAGAAAGTTTTGTCCCGAGGCAATTACATTTATACAGACTATGCTAATGGCGGCTCTAAATAATAAACAAACAAATGAAACTTCTCAGGTATTTTTCAGTCACCATCCCCTTGGTGTGCAATTAACTTTGAAAAGTTGCTTGCTTATGTTTCGCATAAAGAAGTACGAGTAATTGGATGTTATTGTGACACAGTTGTACCATCTTATGGAATTAAAAACACTAAGGCCGTTACTCAGTCTACAAGGCCATGTTCAAGAGATCAGTTCTTTAGATTTTCTAATGTTAATGGACTTGCCCGACGATTCTCCTTATTTTACCTCCGACAAATTCAGGTTTGCAGTAATTAAATTTGCTCAAGGATTTCTTTATTTTTTTAATTTTTAATTTGATATGTGATACTTTTACATGCAGGGCCAGCATTCTGTCTGCAATAATTGGAAATCTGAAAGGATTTGTCAACATTTACGAGGAATTGAAATCCTTCCCCGAGATATTTTTGCCAATTTCAAAAGTACTACACGAACTCGAAGAAGAAGATCTCGTACCAGATGCATTAAAGGGTGAATTAAAAAGCATCGCCCAACATATCCAAGATAAATCCCAGGAATACTATTTGCTCCGTCAACCACTAAGACTTCGAAAAGTTAAAATCATTAAAACTGCAGTTCCAAAGTTTGAGGAGAAGTAAAGCCTTTTTATTCAATTTCCTTTTTTTGTTCAATCACATCTAATTTAATCACTTACGATTTTTTAATTTTTTGTTGGCACGTGGCAGCTTTGTTAAGGGAAGAGATTACGATCCAGATCGAGAGAGATCTGAGATGAAGAAACTAAGGAAACGTCTGAGAAAGGAGGCTAAAGGGGCGGTTCGTGAATTAAGAAAAGATAATTATTTCTTGTCCGTGGTGAAGGCGCGTGACAAGGCACATGTGGAGCAAGAGAAAGCTGAGAAGTCTGGGAAAACGAGAGCTTTTCTTCAAGAGCAAGAGCATGCATTTAAGTCTGGACAGTTGGGCAAAGGGAAAGGCAAAAAGAGAAGGAGGTGATGAATATGTGATGATGTTTTTAGTTCGATTTATATTTTTTTCGTGGTGCTTTTTTTCTTTTCATCCTTACCAAATTCTTGCTTCTGGTTTTGTGGTAATGGAGTTTTATGTCGGAAACTGTATTGTTATTGATGTTCGATAGTTGCTTCATCCAAAGGTGTATAGATTTATTGGGTGGAGTTTTTGATTGAGATCGATTTTGATGAATATGTTATTTATACTAATGTGTCTTTATAATGATTTGGAAAAAAAATACAATATGCTAATGTTGGAGAAAGTTACATTGGGTGGACTTTTTGTTCATCTAAACATTTTTGATATATTTAGCTAATATTGGAAATTTATAATTTATGTTTGTTAAATCTTGAATCTATTTATTGATAACGAAATATATATTTGAAAAATTATTGTTTATGTTACTCAAAAGAATTTTTTTTTATTGTTTATGTTAGTCAATGCAATCAAAATATGTAATTCACCAAATAATGACTTAAACTCGTAAATAATTTTTTTAAAGACTAAAAGAATTTATCACAATTTATCCATTTCAAAACCTTGTATCTATATATAGTACCGAAATAGGTATTTTCAAATTATGAGTTTTTAATATATAAAGACTAAAGTATGTACGATTAAGTGACTTCGTTTTGATTCGTTGAACCAAATTGCAAGCGCACATTTTTTTGTTAAAATCTACAACACTTCTATTGAATTTATTTTCTAATATATTTTATAAACTAAACGGATAGTATTAAATTCGTCTATTAATGACAATTTGATACTACCTAATTAATTTATAAAAGAAAAATTCAATAGAAGTTTTAGTAGATTTTAACAAAAAATGTGTGCTTTTAAGCAAGGCAACAACGGATGCCATGGCCTCGAATAACTTCCCAAAAACAATATTCTACATTAAAATCAATATTTGCTGTACGATATTATTATCGGCTCACTGACCCGGTCAGAACCCTGGTTCTGCCTGTGCTTCCATGTTCCCTTTTAGAGTTTTAAACATTCAAGTCAAAGTTACAAACTCTTAATTCATATATGATGGAATAACATTAGAAATTCCAAGCTCCCTATTAGAGTTTTTGGTTGATCATGTGATTAAAGTCCGAAAACGAAACATCATATATAATCATCGAACGCAATTTGATAATTTTTCGTGCAAAAAAATTTTGAGAGAGAGATAATTAATAGGGCAACGAACAAACAAACCTTACGAACACGCATCAGAATTCATCATCATCTTCTTCAGCTATATGTTTAGCAAGCTCTTGCTCTTGCAGTTGTCTCTCTCTCCTTTTCTCTGCACTCTCCTTTTCCTTGTGCGAATTAGGTGGAAAACGTAGGGCCCGCACCGCTTCGTTGTGCATATTCAGACAAAAGGCAATCCTCGAATTAAAAGCAATTTGAGGCTCGTTTGTGGAGTAAATATCTCCAGTTTCCTTTGATAGCATCCATCCATTACCATGATCCAATGTCGCATCAATTGCGCCGTCTCTAATTGCTTTCGACACAATACTTTCGGCATCTGCAATTGGATTTGGCGAATCCAATCTTAGCTTCTTGGCAACATCGACTAGTGAAATCTTCGAGTATGAGATGCTAATGTTGCGTAAGCCAGTTCTGATTACATTGTGCCGTAGCCGAACTATTAAATTCTTTGTTCCGTCGGAACTGAAGGTGGTGGCGAACTTCTCGGCCACCGACTTAAAGAGCTCCAAGTCTCCAATCCGAACAGCCTAAAAATCCACACACGATAATACATCAGCGCCAAATAATACATCAACTGAAGGTGGTATGCGTATACTTTACTAAAATGATCCCAATGGTAAAAAACCAGGTGGAAATCGGATCAGAATATTAGCACAAACAAAAAATTAAAATATTTGGAAGTGGAAATTTATTTCCAATTCGTTTCAATTGAAAAAATTGGAAATCAGAATTTTGAAAATTGGAACGAAAAAACTTGATCCAAAATCAGAATTTTTTTGGATCAGAAGCAGAGGAATACTGAAATCCAATTCTACAGTCAACGATAAGTGTAATTTTCGTAAAATAATTGGAATTTTAGGAAATATTTATGGAGATTAAATTTGGATCGAAAATCGGAAACCAAACTTTCAGAATGAAAGAATTTTAATCTAAAATCAGAAAATTTCAGATTGGAATTGGCGTAAATCGGGATTTCCGTTTCAATACTGACCCCTTGAAAATTGAAGCAAATTTGTCTACAATTAGACAATGAAATTCTCTTATCGCCAACTAAGTTAAACGTTGAACAAAAAAAATAACTTCAAACATAAGCCTTGTGTTTACATTAAACACGAGGTTGAAGGTGTAATTTGTGGAATCCATCAATAGTACTAAAAACTTCAAAATTATTGCACTCACATTTGTAAGCTCAAAGTATGGCCTCAGTGCTTTTTCCATCCCTTTCTGCATAAAAACAGTTCTTTCTGGAATCTCCCCAAGTAGGAGGCGGACAATCACGGCCCATTTGTTGCATTGAACTCGGAATCCAAGAGCAGAAATGGGTGCTTTCCTAGCAGCTTGGAGTAGGGACTCTTTAGCATCAGTGTACTCCAACTGAATTGTCCTTATCTTTCCAAGATAAAACAGGTACCGACAGAACTACAGAGATATACAGACAGGATCAGAAAATTTATGTTTACGTATACACAAATTATGTCGAGAACCAAAACAAAGAAAAAGTAACAATGATATTGATATACCGAAAGTTAAAGAGAAAAAGGCAAACGGAAACACGATAGCAACCTATACATGCTTGAAAAAAAACTACATGGAATTTACATTTGTTTCCATTTCCTCCATCAAAGATATTGAATGGTTATGCTTAAAGATAAAACAAAAAATAATGGGAAAAGTATCTTGAGATTTACCTGTTGGTTTGAGTGAGCTTCAAAACGAGGAGCCTTTGATCTCAATTTCTCCGCTTGATCATACAAGTTGTAATGGAGGTAATTCCTCAACAATAAATTGAGAAGAGTTTCCTGCATTACGTGAGCTTGCCATCAATTACAAAAAAAACACTACACCAAGATGACAAACTACTAAACACTCCCGTTAAAAAAACAAACCTGCCCTAACTCATCATGGCGAAGAGTTGCCGTTCGGTGCAAAGCAAGAAGATTACTGTTAAAAAGAACATTCTCCATTACATACGACAACATGAGTTAAGAACATTAAAACAATGTAAGCAAGAAACTCAAACTAAAATTGAGATACACATACCCTCGTATTTCAGCGAGATCACCAGTAAGTTCATAGCTTAAGGAGTAGTAATAATAAAGCCTGGATGCTAGTACATCAACAGTTCTTCTATTAAGGTTCCTCAGACGAGCAATGCCACCAGAAGAGCAAGCCTTCGCCTGAAAGCAAAAAAAAAAAAAAAAAGAATCATCGATAAATTACAAAACGTTAAGACATCACTAAAATTGGCAACCCTAGAGATGTTTGATCACATACAACAATACCTCGCTATATCTCTTCTGATCAATCAAAAATATTAGAACCACCAAATAGCAGAAGATCTCGAGCTCTGGCAAAGAGTGTTTTGTTGGGGCAGATGTTGCACTATCAACTTCCATATCATGCCCATCCTCCTACAAGCATCAAAAATCCCTTCATTAACTGAATTTTTCAGACAAGACTTATTATACCATTTCCCAAACAAGTCAATTCTGGGCGGGAATTTATTGATGAAGAAATACATCTAGTCTTTGTTTTATAATTCTTTGAATGTAAGTTGTAACAACAGTAACACATCAGAAGTTGACATGCATCAGAACAAAAAAATTAGATATGCAGAACCAGAACTTGATGTTAACAAAATTATGACCATAAGAAAATAGGAAATAACTCAGATACTGTGAGTTTGAGACCTAAATTAATCCACTTAATTAATTCAAACCTCTTTTTTACCAACAAAATAAGCAATTTAGGGAAAAGTTCATACAAAAAATTTAAGTATATTGACTTAATATTTCACGTAATCATTAAAATGTCCAACTTCTTACCTTAGGAACATATGAAGACAAGCGCGAATGCACATCAGATCCAGGCACAAGGGCGAAATTGAGAAATGCAGAAAGCACAGAGGCCTTCAGATTTTTTCTCAGCTGAATCGTCCACCGAATAGCCCTCACAATCCTTCTGACTTCCCGTGTGTAAGCCCCCGTCTCAATCAGTGCAGCAATATCCTTCAAACCTAATATAATCAACCCGGAAACCCACAAATTCGATACCAAAAAATGCTACAGTCAGATTGGATCCAGGATTTGACCAACAAAAAAACAACACAAAAAAAGCAGCACTCTTTTTTAAATTAAACTTTCATAGAAGAAGAATCTTCAGTATCAAAATAAGCATCCATAATTCAAACTTTTAAATAGCAGCCGAGTAATTTTAGGAAAACCTCTCGTAATTGTTAACTAATACATAATCAAATTAAACGACTTTAACATCAGTTCTTCTTCGCTTAACGTACAGCGAAATCATGCATCACTCGGAATCTAACAATCATCAACGCAAACAGAAAAATGTACGCCTGCAGATTAAACGCTTACACTGAAGAGTGGACGGAGAAGGGGAGGTGAGTGAACTGGACGGCGTAGGCTGCTCCGGCTGCTCCTTCATCTCAACGTCTTGTGTCATTGTCGTAAGAAAAATTGAGAAATTAAAGTCTGTAAATTGATCTGAATGCTAGGGTTTCTCCGAATACGAATTGGGGAAAATGCAATCTCTGAATTGAAATTGGAATTGGAATTGGAAAAGGGCAAATTCTCTGCTGCAAAGAGAGAGAGAGAGAGAGAGAGAGAGAGAGAGCAATACTTTCTCTCTCCATTGTAGCAGGTCGGTCCATCATATAAGTCAAGCCCATCTGATCGATATAGCAGGCCAGCCCATTCTTGGAGGCCTCTAATTTATTTCCCCCTGAACTTAGGCTAAATTATGAACCCCCCCCCCATCTATCTATAATTACTAAACTCCCCCTGAAACTTGTTTCCGTCTTACACCAACCCCCTTCCACTATGGAAAAACATCCCTATCGATCTATAACTACCAAAATTCCCTAGGGTTTGTTTTCGTCTTACACTGACCCCTTTTCGGTGTCATTCTTCACGGAATTTTTTTTATTCCAGATAATATTTCTCAAAAAATACCAATTTTATGAGTTGTTTCTAGACAATACTAGAAAATATGAAGAAAAAAAAACTTTTAGGAGTTTTTTTGCATTAATTCGGACTTTGGGTGGACTTGGTTGGACTAAATAAATATACATGTATAATGTAGTGATTTTTTTTTTAATGGAGGGTGGACTCACTTATTATTTTTCTATGTTTTGTTCAACTACAAATACTTGAATTTTACTTTTTATATAAAATTAAAATGTTAAAAGTTACAGAAGCACAATACAAACTCAATTAAAAGAAAATTAAAATTTGAGGAGGTTAAGGCCCCCACTGGCCGTACACTGGCTTTCTCACTATGGGTGCGTGCTATATATACAAGTAAGGGTGTTGGTAAATGAGTAGAGCCGACTCGTAAGCTTGATGAGTCAGCTCGAAAAAAGTTCAAACTCGAGTTTTTCAAGATCGAGCGTTTTCTTAGTTGTTCATCAACTCACAGGCCAGCTCGCGAGCCTTCTTTTTATTTTCTTTTTTTAATTTTTATATATTTTTTTTATTTAAAAAATATATTATTATAATATATACTAAAAGTATTAAAAGAACATATAAAGTTAAAAACATATATAATTATAGTTCATTAATTATTTTGTAATTTTTTTATTATAATATAAGTAATTTTTAATAATAAAAGAAAAAAGAGCTTGGGCTCGAGATTGTCAAATCGGCTCGAGCTTGAGGTCGAGGCAAAAAAAAATATACTATACCTGAAGAGCTCGAACCTGCCAAAACAGCCGAATTTGGCTCAAGCTCGGCTCGTTGACACCCCTATATACAAAGCCAACTTTAAAGATTATAATATGATAAATCAAAACAAAATAATGTGGAGGACTTAAATATAAGAAATGGAAATATGTATTCATTTACAAAGAAGTTTGTACATACGTTTTGTTTACATGAAGATATATATATATATATTGATGATGCTAAAATATAGCTCACCTAGGGTGGTGTAGAAAATGAGCTGGGAGAGCAAAGCAGATCAGTAGCTTGACAATTTGATGATCCTGAGGTACCTGCGATCAAAGAACACACATGAACTAAGCCGGGGGTTGATCCGGCGGAAACCCCTCCGACGCTCAAGTCAGACGTGCTGATCATAGAAATAGTCCAGAGAATACATATTATCGTATTGCTCAGTTAATAGGACGTACCTTAATAAAATGAGTAAAACCTCTATTTATATGTCGTTTATTGGGTTGGGTTTGCTTTGTTGGGCCCAAACCTTACTTGAAGGTGTTTGGGCCTCGGTGATATTAGTCTTCGATATTGGGCTCGTAGCCCAGTAGGTAAAGAAATTGTAGGCCCATTGGGTTGGCCCAATTAGGCATATCATTAAGCCCCCCACTCTCGAGTCGATGTGGGGGCCATGTTGTGATGGGTCTCAAATCGTGTCGAGAGTAAAAATTGTAGAAGTCGATCGTTGGCGTATGGCCTAATGGTATGCGAAAACGCGTTGGAGCGTGTGTCGGAGGGGCGTGAATGCGCGTTGGTGCATAGCGCGACAAGGTCGTCGCGATGTAAGTTAATTGAGTCGTCGGTTTTGTCCCGCGACGATGTAGTAGCGAATTATCTCATCGTGGGAGTTGTTTCGTCGCGGGGTAATAGTGTTGATCGAGTTATCTCCTCGTGGGAGTTGTCTCGCGATAATGTAGTAGCACGGATCAAGTAATCTCCTCGTGGGAGTTGTCTATGGGGTAATCGAGTTGATCGAGTTATGTCCTCGTGGAAGTTGTCTCACGATAATGTAGTAGCACGGAGCTAGTATTCTCCACGTGGGAGTTGTTATTTTTCGACATTGTCGATGTTTTGACGCGTTGCTTATATGTGTTTACATATAGCCTTGTGCGTGATGTACTTGAAGAGGGGATCAGACTCTCAAGATTTTTTATGGGGGTCGTGCCCCTTGTTAGACCTCGTGGGTCTTAAGTATGTTTGGACCGTGGCCACGTTTTAATGAGGGACCCGTCGAAAACAAGTAGATAAATTTGAGTAATCAAGTTGGCCAGGCTATATAGATTCTCATAATATTTCTAAGTGTTTCTAGGGTTGTAATCGTGCTAACTTGAGCTTGCGATTACATAGTGAGTTTCGGGCGAGTTGTCTCCTCATGGGAGTTGTCTCGCAGCGAAGTTGTAGAATCATTGGATGACGCACGACTGACGAGTGTGCGGATTGATGTCGCTCTGAGCGATTTCTCTCCTCGTGGGAGTTGTCTCGCATCGAGTCTTATTATCGAGTGAGGTGGCTGCACGTGGGAGTTGCCTTGCAACGGATATGTAGTGTCGAGCGAGTTGGCTCCTCGTGGGAGTTATTTCGCTGAGGGTTCGTAGTACCGAGCGAGTTGGCTCCTCGTGGGAGTTGTCTCGCTGCGGGTTCGTAGTACCGAGCGAGTTGGCTCCTTGTGGGAGTTGTCTCGCTGCGGGATGTGGGACAGAGCGAGTTTGCTCCTCGTGGGAGTTATCTCGTTGTGGTTTCGTAGATCCGAGGGAGTTGGCTCCTCGTGGGAGTTGCCTCTCAACGGGTTATAGTACCGAGCGAGTTGGCTCCTCATGGGAGTTTTCTCGCTGCGGGTTGTAGGACAGGGCGAGTTTGCTCCTCGTGGGAGTTGTCTCGCTGCAATCTGCGGGACGGAGCGAGTAGTCTCCTCGTGGGAGTTATCTCGCTGTGGTTATGAGACCCGAGGGAGTTGGCTCCTCGTGGGAGTTACCTCGCAACGGGTTATAGGACGGAGCGAGTGGTCTCCTCGTGGGAGTTATCTCGCTATGGTTTCGTTTAACCGAGGGAGTTGGCTCCTCGTGGGAGTTGTCTCGCAAGCCCCCCACTCTCGAGACGATGTGGGAGCAAACTCGAAAGGGCTACCGGATCGTATTGAGAGTAGATCGGTGTTGTAGTCTTGCGTTAATCGTTGGCATGACGTGGAGAAATAATTTTTTTTATTTTCCATTAGATAGCGAACGCAATTTGGTAGGTGCGTTAAAGAGCTCGCGCAATTTGGTGGAGCGCGTTGAAATTCTCGTACGATTTGGTGAAGCGAGTCAAAATCTACGCGCAATTTGGTGGAGGGCGGTGAAAGTTCCGTGCGATTTAATGGGAGCGCGCAGTCCAAGGGCGCCTTGGGAAAGCGCGCGCGCGTGCTTGCGCGCACCCCCATTAAATTTTTTTTTTTTTTCTTTTTTTTTTTCTTTTTTTTTTTTTTTTTTCTCTCTCCTGCTGACGCGCGAGCGCGTCAGCGCGTGTGCGCCACGCGCGCCTCCTCCTCTTTTTTTTTTTTTTTTTTTTTTTTTTTTTTTCCTTTTTGCTGACGCCCGCGCGCGTCAGCGCGTGGGAGCCACGCGCGCGTGCTGTGCACGCGCGCTTCCTCCTGCTCTTTTTTTTTTTTTTTTTTTTTTTTCTTTATTCTTCCTTTTTCTCACTCTTCTTTATTTTTCTTCTTCTTCTTCTTTTTCTTTTTCTTATTTCTTTTTTCTTCAACTTCTTCTTCTTTTTCTTGTTTCTTTTTTCTTCAACTTCTTCTATATTTCTTCTTCTTTTTCTTTTTTTCTTTTTTCTTCTTCGTTTTTTCATCTTCTTCTTTTTTTATCTTTTTCTTCTCTTTTTTTTTTTTTTTTTTTGTTGATATTCACCCCTTTGGGGATGTTCTATTTTTTGAGTAGGGAGATTATCCTCGTTCCTTGAGATGGGATGTGCACCCCCTTGGGGATGTTCTATTTTTTGAGTAGGGAGATTATCCTCGTTCCTTGAGATGAGATGTGCACCCCCTTGGGGATGTTCTATTTTTTGAGTAGGGAGATTATCCTCGTTCCTTGAGATGAGATGTGCACCCCCTTGGGGATGTTCTATTTTTTGAGTAGGGAGACTCTACTCGTGTCTTGAGATGTGATGTGAACCCACTTAGGGTTGAAAGGTAAGGGTCATGCCCAACCTTAGGATGGGGATAACTGCCCACTGTAGGATGAGGCGCTCGAGACCTATGGTCTGAGGTGGATGCGCACGGTTGTGCCATTGGTTCGCGCGTGCGTGTCTGACCCTTTTTTCTGTTTTTGAAGTAGGGACGTGAAACACTTGATGGGATGTGAAACCCCTTGGGGTTGAAAGGTAAGTGGATGTACCACCCTTGAGATGAGATGCCCCACTTTAGGATGGGATAGCCCCCCATTTAGGATGAGGCGATCACGAACATCTGGGGTGAGATGCCCAACCTTGGCGATGCCCAACCTTAGGATGGGGATAACTGCCCTCGGGAATCGTGCCCGATTTTTTTTTTTTGGCGATATATGGTGCCACTGATTTCAGTGGCAGCACGAGTTGAATCTTCCGTGATCATACGCTGAAGGTCTTCTTCGGTTATCTGAACCGTTCGAGAAGTAAGTAGAAATTGATCATGTTGAGGACCCAGTGGGGCCTCACGAGGAGGAGCGTTGGCTCCTGCTATGACGAATGAAATGTTTGGGGGGCGATGTGACCCCAGAGAGTCGATAACCCTCGGCGACGAATTATTTTGGGGGCAGATGTAAGCCCCCAGTGGAGTCGACAACCCTTGGCGAACGAAATATTTGGGGGCGATGTAAGCCCCCAGGGAGTCGATAACCCTTGGCGAACGAAATATTTTGGGGGCGATGTAAAACCCCAG